ATAAAATACCTATCAATTCCTTTTCTGTGTGTGAATTAATCTCAGCCAAGGGGAGGAGACCCTGCTGAGTTCATGATATGGAATACTATAATACCTTTGTCTCTAAAACTGCATTACATTAACTGAGAATAATGCAACCTTTATTCTTTCATACATATGTCAGCTTAATGAGCCGTTAAGATGTCTAGTATTTAAAGCATACAATAAGGATATCTATAGTTTAAGCTTCAGAAATCACCCAAATATCCTACAAATGCTAATAGCACTCTCGACAGGAGAAATCTAGCCTTTCATTTATTTTTAAATTCCCCTTCCATTCTATCCATAAAATGCATTTATTTACAAAGAAAGCAGGAGAAATCTATAATACCAAATCAATTAATATAAGTTAGGAAAGGCAAAACGGGAACATATATGTTGGATAATACCCTGCTCCTGATCAGATCCCAGGAAATTCCACTCATTTTCTCTCACAATTTCTCTAGTTCATTAATCAGAAAATCCTTTCCCACTGATCAGAGTCCCTTAAGGACTCAGAAGCAACAGTATCCACCCACAAAGGGGCCAAACAGGCTCTCATATAGAAACGTTGGGTTTGGACCTCACCATGGGAATTCTCCAGCACTCATGTGGCCTGTGACTATAGACAAGGGAGTCATGGGCTCAGCCTTGCCACTTTTGCCTGCAAAGCGTAAACCATTTGAAACCACAGCAGATACATGCCCAGAGGATCAAGGAAAGACAGAACACAGTTGCAGAGCTACACCTACTTTCTACTGCAGACCAACCTCACCCATTGTATTTTTCTCCTCAGAAATGTCCTGCACCTAATTGCTTCTGTATGATTGGCTCAGAAACAATACCCATAAATCTCTGAAATGTCTACATGAAATTATGCTTGCATAATCTTGGCATACTCATAAATAAAATCCTTCACTGAATGGAAAGTTACTGTCAGTAATGTCTAGACAGATGTGATTTTCCAAGATCTGTTATTTTTGACAGTATTCTATCAGAACGCTGGTGTGATTCTTTATTTCTAGAGACGAGGAATAATTTCAGCAATATTCTTTTAACAGAACTTTCGAGGCTCTGTTACTTTGATTTTTCCCTCATTCTACATTGCATAACTATTACCATTGAACTAATTTAATAAGGTATATTACAGTAGAGCAGTATTTCAACTGATTAAATGTGTATCAGGAGTATTAAACCATCTCTTTCACCTTTGCTCCAAAGTAACTGCATATAATACTATATAATCACTATTATAACTAAATGTATGTTTCATGGTTGTGAGGATTTTAATATATCTCATTCTAAAGTCTACTGGTTCAATCAGTCTCATGGCTCAGCACTGCTAGTAAGATGAAAAAAAGAACCTATGCTATAACACTCAGGAGAAATTACCGTTTGTGAGCCAAGAAGCAGCTTTGTCATGCAACAAAAGACTGTAGTACAACACACCTGGAAAAGCCCAGCAGCTTTGAAAGTGTGCCTTTTAGGCAGAAAAGACAAGTAAAATGATAAACTGTACTAACACCACAAAAACTTCTATAAGTGAAAGGGACCTTGGAGTTTTCAGTGCATGACTTCTTTTTTCCACCTGACTAGCTTCTCTGATAAATATTTTTTAATGTGATTCTTTATCCTGGTTGAGGCAAGATGAAAACAATAGAAGACCAATTCATGCAGAGATCTAAAAGGAAAGCCTTCAGAACAAGGAAACCTCTGCATTTTGTATTATTTGTGGAAAAGACAATGAATGTGTTGGAGGGACTCTAAAACTGCTGAAGTGCTAGAACGTATTCCAAAACACTACATTTGGAGTAACAGTGTAAAATACTGGTTAGTGAGGCAAATAGTAGTAAGAAATGCCACTGGATCTCAGCATATTTTCCAAGAAACAAACAAACAAAAATACTTAGCCTAACACTGTTGCAGTTTATAAACTTTGACCAACCTGTCACACCAGCTCAAGAACCTCTGCATTCCAGCAGGAAATTCTGTCAGGCCTATTTAAAATAAAGTTCAGGCTACCCATGTCCTATACCCATATCTTTCCTTTCCCCATATTTGTTTCCTTATAAAATCCAGAAAATAATTGTAAAGAATGCATTTAAGCAATGTTACTAGTTAATGCTCAGTTTATAAACGTGCAAAAGATGTATTCTTAGTAGGCACATGCACACAGAACAAATGTATACACCACATCTATACATATATACACACACACACACATATGTATACACAGCTGGCCACACAGATCCCAGAGAGACACTCAGAAAACTTACACAAACACCGACGACAGTACCAACGGCCTCATCCTGCTCCCTTCTCTGGCCGAGCAAGACAGAGGTCCGCTGGGCTCGGACACACACACACAGCCCTCGCCCAGGAAAGTTAGAAATTAATTTAATAAGAAGATAGGACAAAGTGCACTGATTGGGCACCGACAAGCATACCAACCAACCAAGTATTTTCACACAACCTTTTTATCCCCTTGCCCCTCTATTTTCCCACACTTGTCCCTCCTCCACATCACCTAATCGCTCCCTTTTCCTGCCTTTGGTTCCTCCCCTAGTAAGTCCCATCATAAATCCCATGCAATCCGAAAATACTGTTTCCCTGCATCCCATCACGTGTCCCACTCCTTGACAGCACTCGAAAGGTGATCCCAAATGCTGCTGCCAATGACTGATGGTGATGGGTTTCATGCCTGGACACAGGGGACTGACAACTCTCCTGGGGCATCCCTGGGAAGGGCCCAGATATGGTGTTCGGTCCTGGGAGTCTGCAGTTTGGGTTCCTGCCTGCCGTTGTGTTCTGTGCTCCTCTGGGCTTGTGGAGATGGGCCTGTCATGGGCCTGGGAGTACCCAGGGCTGGGGATTATTTCGGCTCGCCCTCCCCGATCACTGTTGGTGCTCCTTTGTGGATGTGCAGACAAGCCGTTACACATAACAGAGTAACATAAAACAACAAAAGGGCACAGGCTGCAGGAAAGAAGTTGAAAATTACATTAAATTTGTACTTTCCTAGCTGAAAAGTTAATTGCATTAGAAGCATCTTCACACACTGTTTTCAGATTGAAGAGACAACCTAGTTTTTAAAACACTGTCCTCTGATCATAGAATCATAGACTCATTAAGGTTAGACCTTTGAGATCATCAAGTCCAACCTGTTAACCTAACTGTCTGGTCTACCTCGAAACCATGTCCCTAAGCACCACATCCACACAGTTTTTTAACACTTCCAGGGACTGTGATTGCACCACTTCCCTGGGCAGTCTGTTCCAATGCCTGACCACTCACTCCGTGAAGACATTTTTCCTAATATCTAATCTAAATCTCCCCTGGTGCAACTTGAGCCCATTTCCTCTTGTCCCATCATTTGTTACTTGGGAGAAGAGACCAATCCCCACCTCACTACAGCCTCTTTTCAGGTAGTTGTAGAGAGCGATAAGGCCTCCCCTCAGCCTCCTCTTCTCTACACTAAACAACCCCAGCTCCCTCAGCTGCTCCTCAGAAGACTTGTGCTCCAGACCCTTCACCAGCTTCATTGCCCTTCTCTGGACACGCTCCAGCACCTCGATGTCCTTCTTGTAGTGAGGGGCCCAAAACCGAACACGGTATTCGAGGTGCAGCCTCACCAGTGCCACACAATGTGATGCTGCCCACAATGCAGAGAGAACTGTTGTAGTACTGTTGTAAGGTGCACAGGTATCTTAGACTTTCCAGGTCTTAGGGGTGGAGATAATCTAAACACAAAAATCCACCCATAAACAAAGATGACAACTAAAGGAAAATCAGACAACACTCAAGCGCTCGTCACAGAATGTAATGTGGAGATAGTGGTTGGGGGGTATTTGCTGAGGCTGAATAGGTCATAGAGACTACTGTGGCTTCCCAAAGTACATTTTCAAGAAACTATCTTCTCTCCATTTGAACCACTGCAGTCAGAATCCTCTGAAGGTCCTCTGAAGAGGACCAGAACACGATTGCTGCCAAAAGCCAACAGTTTGCAGGTTTGCTCCTGCTGTTGTTTGATAATGGTAATTGTGAGCTTTGATACACCTTCCTGCCACAGTTTCTACCACACCCCCCCCCAAAATGCATGCTCAATTAAAGATTAATGCATAATGATCTAATTTTTTATGTCTAACTGGTTCATGTCAAACACTTCGAGAATGTTGATTCCTGAGATTATCATCAGCCTGACAAAGCTTGTCACAGTTTCAGGCTTGCCATTATCCTGAAGCACTATCAAGCAATATGGCAAATAACAGCAAATTTGCCCAGTCTAAAGAATTCTTGTCCTTGAAGTTGTTATTGTAGATGCACTTGCAAACATGCATCTGAAAACTTACTACTGTATAAGCTCACAACTATTGCCAAACATTGTCTCTTTCAAAGTGGAAATTTAAATCTTATATTTTATTAATGAAGATGTCCAAATAGATTATTGTAAGTTAAATGATGTGTTTTCTTCTCTGTTCGACCTCAATTTATTTATTTAGCAAGACTGCTGCAGGTGCATTTAATGTGACCACAGGAGTCAAAGGCAGCAACGGCCTACCAGTTCATTCATTCTGCTCTCCGATATCACACTGTTCACCCCAGAAGTACAGTAAAGCTCAAATTAAAGCCTTTCACCAGATCTACCAAAAGACTATTCCACCCTCCATCAAATCTCAGACAGAAAAACTGTTCCGTCCTTCAGCATTTGCCTTAAATTCACCTCTTCATAGACTACCTTCTTCCTCCTCGGGTTTTACAGTTTAACACATACAAAGGATTGCCTTCTCACATAGACGCACTCCACACTCCAAATAATTCAGTCCCTCTTCACATTCCATCCCGGGCTTCGTTGCCAAGTCGAGGCTTCCACTTTTCAGTTTCCAGGCTCTGCAACACGGACACGTTCCTCCTCTTTCCCCCGCAGCCTTCTCTCTCCAGGGCCCACATGAGGACATGCTTACGTGAAGCCCTTTGTGTCACACATGCACAAAGCACCTGTGTCTTGCCTTTTAGTCCCCCAGAAACCACGGGACGCGGCAGCTCTCGCGGCCCCCTGCTCCAAGCAGGACACGCCTTTATTCCCAGCCCCTGACACCAGAGGACACCCGTATTCACGTCGCTACACCAACGTTTCTCAGGAGCAGCAACAGCAGCGGGAAGCTCTCGAGTCAGCAGCGGCCAGCCGGGGCACGGCCCGGACCTTCCGGGACGTTCCTGTCAGGGGACAGCGTGCCGTGAGCCGGAGTACGCCGCGCCGGCCGCCTCACGTCGTTGATTCGGTTGGAGGTAAAGCAGGGCATGACGTCACGGCCGCACCCAGCCGTGGGTGCACGGCCGCACCCACTCTCCCTCGCCTCGAGGACGGGCCGGCTCCCCCCCCCCCCCCCCCG